AGGAAATACGTAGGAAATACGAGTGATTATATCTGTTTCAGGTTTGTTGGGCTTTCGTTTTGAGGTTCTGAATTTAGAAGATCATCAGCCTAATTACAAAGAAAGCAGTTCCCTCATAGTTTTGCTATGCCACTATTTGCCACTATTTGCCAGCACTATTACAGGAGAAAATGTTTATAAAAATGTTTTTATGCAAGACCAATTACCCTCTAATATGAGAAATTTTAATTTCTCCAATACCAATGTCTGTCTGCAATCTCTGTCAGAATTAACCAATCAAGTTGTTACATTTTAATTATGCTAGGGCACCACTTCTCTTGGGGAAACTTGATGCAGACAGAGAGGATGCCTGCAAAGAAGGGATTTGGCTTATTTAAAAGGGTTTTCAAAAAGAAAAAACCCTTGTTTTATTTTACTCTTCATATCTGGGTTTAAAATCAAGACATTTTACTCAAGCAAGATTTGAAGAGGATTTATCTTCTTTAATCGACCTGGGAAGAAAATACATGTATTTATAGATCATGCATGTGTAAATACATATGCATACGCATAGACAGTGTATCATAACCTGACTCCCTAGAACCAGGAGTAGACCCTGTTACATGAGGGAAAGGGAAGGAGAGACACTGTGGATTAGAGAAGAAACCATGTGCAAAACAAAGCTATTCACTCTGCTTAAACACAACTGAAAGAAGCTCAGATGTCATGCTGGGAAAGGCAGTGCAGGAATCTATGAAGTACCAAATTATGTGGCATTCTGAAAACTGGGACTGTTGAACCTTTATTCCTAATTTTGATAGGTTGTGTAGCTTTAAAAAGACTTTGCAGTCTTTCTGCATGTACTATCACTTTTCCCAGAATGCACATTATTTTTTTGTTTGTTTGTTTGTTTTACAAATAACAGTCTGTGGTAACATAGTTGACTAAAACTGAGAAAAATACAGTGAAGAAGCTAAGCGGTGAACTGAAGGCCACATGGAGATAGCTGAGTTTTGGTTAGCTCCAAACGCTCACATCCACATGTAAACTCTTCTGTCACACTACATTTTCCCTGTATTTTACAGGCTAAATATGCAGATTGTACTAAACTCCAGGGTGCCCCATCACCAAAGTGTCACTGATCTACACATACAATAGGACACCAAATATTTCTTGCTGTTCAATTGACTGAATAGTGACACAAGCCCTCCTGAAAATTAAGTTCAAGTTACTTTAAGGAGGATGATATTAAAAAATAATAATAAAATTATTTTTTTAAAAAGCTGTCTGTAAGCTGGCTCTGATTTTTTCTTAAATATTTATGGATTGTATTTTCTTACATACCATGTGAGAGGAACAATTAGAAAATGAACTAATGAATATATGTATATTAGAACTCTGAAAATGTAAAGCACTATAAATTCTTTAGCTCTATTTAGCTATTTATCATTATAACTTAGATACCAGGAATAATAATACTACTACTTTGAGAAAAGTCCATGGATGAGTAGCTCTCCACAAGATCCAGAATACTTCAGATCAGTGGACATAGTCCTGAAAAACATGGCAAGAAATACCAAGAACTGGTAGGCATATGTAAATTTTTAATCCTAATACATATTTTTAATGCTAGATTCACTAAATGGTTCAATGGCTACAATTGTAAGAGATTTCTTTTTGGAATTTACCTCTCATTATGCATTACAAGAGTGCAGCATCCTTTAAAGGAACACGCTTAGCTACTACTGATGTGTAGTCATTTCCAAAATTCTGGAGTTTTGGAAGTTTGTAGACCTGTTTTCAGGAGCCTGCATCAATCCCTGCACCACACTGGTTTCACAGTGAATGTTTTATAAAATATGAGAGTAGTCCCACAGTTTCTGTGAGATATATATGCAAGACTTTCAAGAAATTAAAATACAAATATTCCTTTTGGTAGTAGGTACTCTGTTTAAGCCTTAAGTGTATGACTCTCAGGAAGCACCAAGGGGCTGCTCCCCAAGGGCCAGGAGTCAAGAAGATTCCTATGGCCAGCAGGGCTGATCCCTCACTACACTCAGTGAGGAAGGAGGGCAGGCCAGGGGGACATTCCAAAACCTAGGACATCAGGCACCCCCATGGGATGAGGTCAGGCTGAAGTTAAGGGGGTAGAAAAGTTTGAGGGGCCAAGGTCAAGTTCCAGGCATAGACAGGATTGCAGTGCAGCTACAACGTAGCTCAGGCAGAGACACATGCAAGAGCCTCAGCTCAAAGCAGTCCCAAGAAAATGTGGCAGAAGCCCCCCATGAGGCTTGTTTTGGCAGGTAATTCCCACTAAAACTTCTTCTGTCTTTCCTTCCCCAAGAAAACCAGCTGTGCTTTCTTTAAGCTGGCTTCGAGCCCAGGCAGAGAAACCTCCTAGAAGCACTCAGAGTCCTAACAACAACAAATGAACAAGAAAAGACATAGTGACAGCATGTACTGCAAAGTAATATTCACAGCTTGGTTGAATTTAGTGTAATAACAGAAATAAAGACTGGAATTTGAAACAATAAATTGTGTTATTTTTCTGTCTTTGTATAACATTGTCTTGGTTTGAAAAGACAGGTGTCTGTTAAGGAAGGCAGGAGCCTCCTTTGAAATGGAAAATGTAAACCCCCTCCCTCCAAATTATTATAATTTTGAAATTAAGGGGCTCTCAGGCAAAGATATGGGAGTAGGAACAACAGGTTTTTACTAGTATGTATGAATTAATAAAACCCTACAACTTAATAGGAAAATTAAAATAAAATGCAGCAGTACAAAAAACACTGACAGAGTCAGAATACAACCTGACTCCCTGTTGGTCAGGGTGTTGGTAGCACTCCAATTAAGTTGCAGCTGCAGTCCTCCTGGTGTGACAGATGTGGCTCTGTTGAAGCAGTGATCCTGTAGAATGGTGTAGTTTTCCTCTGGAGGTCCAGTGGTGGTGTAGAACGGTCTGGTCTTCCTCTGGAAATCCAGTGGAAAAGGCTGACTGTGGTATTCTAAATGTCAGATTATATCCAGGTCGGCTCCTCCCTCTGGATGGAGCATCTCACAATGGGATGATGTAATTTTATCAGTCATGCAGTGAGACTCAATGGCCCATTAACAGAAGAGATCCCCCTGGAAGGAGGATGGGTCATGGAGGAGATGAAGAACACTGCCACACCTGGCTTTAACAGCTGGCCCGTTAACAAAAGATATCCCCCTGGAGTTATGAGGGACGGGTCAGTGCATGCATAGAAGAGCACCTTAAAGTAATTTCTTATGGAGAACATAACTAGGAACTTCTTCTGAGCTACACTAGCTGATATATTACAAGCAGCAATTCAAAGCCCATTTCAAATAATTCAACACAATCGTTCAGGAAACTTTCAGCCCAAGCAGGTTTTAGTGCCTCAGTACCATTGCAATTAAACTGAAACATATGCTGCATAAATCTAGGGGCAGCAGGGGAATCAAAAAGTGGGCATTTGGTAACTCCAGATTCCACTGGTAGCCCATGGTACTCTCTCATGAGGATTCATCCCTATTCCATCACATAAATAAATTATAGAACAGCAAGGGAATATAAACCACAGTGGGAGACACCGACATGTATAAATAAGACATATGTGACAGGCATGTACCAAATACAGAGGATAATCTGCAACCACATAATTACACACCTTGATGACCTTATCTGTCCCTCTACTCATTAATCCTTCTTTTCTGTCACTCTGCACTTGCCTGCACTGGAAGTTTGTGTTGGTGCAAGCCAGGCTGTAGCTTCTTCTGTCATCACCATCACGCTGTAGCATTTTTGGTGAATTGCTATGCAGTTTTTATTCTCGGATTCACGGGCAAGTTGCATCATACTGATTTCCATACCTGGACTCCAGTAGTATCTTGGCTGTTCTCCATGATACCTTCCAATATCAAGTTGTGACCTATCCCAACCAGCTGGTCTGTTTATCTCTGTGATCTTTGAATATTCCCTATTTTCAGCATAAAGTACATAGAATATTCCATTAAAAGGAAAATTAATTCAGTTACTCTCTTTAGGTTTATTAGTATAAATCTCATTATGAAATTCGTTCTTTTTTCCTCCCCTTATTCTTTTTTAATAGAAAAATTTACAGGTTTTTTTTCTTGTCAATGGAAACTTTAAAAGGCTTGTATTGGTCGTACGATCTTCAACAATGTTTTCTATTTCTACATAGGGCATAAAACAAAATTTCATATCAAGAGCCCTACCTAGAATATGGTATTCCAAGGCAGGAATGCTTCCCAAATATGGATGCAGTTCTATTCTGTATATGGTCCACTGAGCATTTGAGTGTTATTTACATTTCCTGTTAGCCAACAGAAACACATATCTTCAGGACTGCCACAGCCTTAAGAAAATGCAGCAATTCCAACAGGAAGCAATGAAGTTTTTTATCAATGCATCTCAGACATTTTGCAAGTACTTTCAAAACCCTTCCCTCCTACAAACTAAAGAGGATCTTTCCTCCCTTGCAAATCCATGCTCCTCCCTCATCTCCTCCCAGCCCTGCTCCTGCAGGGATTTCTCCAGCTCCTGGAAGCCAGAGTGGATTGAGAAAGAAAAGGATATTATCTGGAGGAAGCCAGTATAACCAAGGTCTACAGTAGAAGAGCTAGGAAATACACATGGTTGATGAATGATCATGAACCATGGAGAAAGTATTCAAATAGCAGAGTATTCTGTCTTTGCTGGATTTACCGTAGTGTCTGTTTATATGTACTTGTAAGTTAGTTTCTTTACTCTTCCCTCATATGTATGAGAGAGGCTTACTCAAATCCACTGTCCACTAACAAGAGTCGGTGTCACCATAGAATCATGACATTGGGCACATCATTTATGCACATTGCTATGTGCAGCACAGAAAAGATATAGAAAACTTTTAGAGTTTCTCAAGAATGGGAAACGGTTCAGGAAATCCGCATCCAAACACTGCAGGGGGAAAAAACCTGCCCAACTTAGAAAAAAACAAAACACACAAAAAACCACAACCTGCAAACCTCTTATCTTGAAACTGTGAATAGTAGGAAAAGTTACCGAGTTATAGGATCATCAGTCTTAACATCTGCACCACTAAGAAAACAAATGTTACTGCTGTTCAGTTCAGGTGACTACAACAGTTGGATCTTTGGGGTGTTCTTCCTTTTGGAGAAAGGTTAGTGGAAGCTCTTGAAAGATGTATGTTGGTTGAGGAGCAGTAGACATCAGAAATTCAGAGCAACACAAAAGACAATAAAGAGAACTTCATAACAACAAAACACTGTCATAATTCATTATGAAAGATGATTTTCTAACTGCAGAGTGGAGATTTGCTGTGCAGGAAGCACACGCAGAAATTGACAAGGACACAAAAAATTAGATAATGGAGTTAAACAGGAACATAGTTTTGAAGAGTATTGTTATTAAAAATTATAACTCTCTCCTACTACATGCACTTCAGTCTTAGATTCATCAGCCATCATTCAAATATCACCAGCAGACCCTCAGCTACAATTCTTTCAATTTGTTCTAGAGAACAGCATCCAGACTTCATTTCTCTGACATCCAAACAAAATTCTGTCAGCTCATTTCATCTTCCAAATTGTGGTGCTTGAAACAGTGAGAAAAGACTATTTGTAGAAATAATTTCACAAGTTCACTTGGACAGGTCCACTTATCACAAGCTCCTTGTATCTCCAACAGTCATGTATTGCTATGAATAAAATACTCAACATTTTTGCCAGAACTAAGATATGGCCTATTCATTCCTGTCAATTTGCATTCATGATTATATTTAAAATTAAGGTGACTTGCTGTGTTTGCAAAGCCAGTACCCATTAAGTGATCTAGAGGTGTGTACTGTTAGTACTACCTTGCATGGCACACCACAGAAAGCTGCACAAAAAACAGAAAGAAAGGCATCCGAACAAGCTCTCATTTCCTCAGTAAGTGTATTAATTATATCCCCAAAATGCCTTGAGATATTGTCATTCAGAAATGGCAGAAAGCCTCTTTACTGCCTACCAGCTATTCTGGGTAAGATACAGCACAGTTACAATTTCAAGCCAGTTTTGCCGATCCTCCCCAGCCCTTCCAGTTACCAGCTGTTGATCACTCTCTAAAAGACAACCTTCACAGTTATTCCGCAGCTATTTAGCAGAGTGAGAACAGTTGTTGTCTAAGTTTCATATGTTCAATAAAATACTTTATTACCCATGATAAGGGCAAGTATAGTCTCCTAGAATACAGTAAGTGGCACCATTAATTCTGTCCAGGACAGCTGTGCTTACTGATCCCTCTTCTTTTCCTGAGAGGGAGCAGCTGAAAGTCTCTGTAAATGCTCATTCATAGGGCAGCTGAACACAACAGCTGATTTACTGATATCATAGTCATTAATAATTGACTGATAACAACCAAGTGCTGTATTTCCAGAATGTCCACATACTGAATGGATGAGAAGTTTTCTACTAATATCCAGCAGCTCTGAAACAAGCCCTACACAAAGCGCCAAAAATATGCCTTTGTTTATCTTGAGAGTTTGCAAATCTACTTAGTCGTCTTTGACAAACCAGTACTTGCTTTTCAGAAATAGCACTGCAGAAACATGATGCTAGTGCAAGAAAAGTTCCTTCAGAAGCAGCTTCCTCCTCATTCATTTTCCTCCTTGTTTCCACCTACCTTTATTCTCCTTTCATCAGGTTTCATCTCTATCTACACCCCAAATGTGTTTTTCCACAGTTAGGTTGAATCCTACAACATGGATTTTTCAATTCTATTTGATCAAGGATTAGCATACCAAGGAGTCTTACAAGGAAGCTACACTACATATACTGTGCATGACTTCCCACAGCCCTATACACATCCCTCACATGAACAATTTTTTTCTGATTCTAGAAGACCCATTTCTTTTTGTGCTTCTATAAGCTATTAGCACTAGCTCTTCTAGCATTAGGGTGCATTAGTTAAAAATACAGAGCAGTTTTCCAATTAATTTGAATTTCAGTTATGAAAAAGAATAGTAATGCTATGAAGTATTCTGTTAATGTTATGATTTCACTATGCAGCACAGTCTGCCACCCACTGCTGCCTCTTGCTCTGATGCAGCAATCAGTAGCATTTTCAACAAATGGTGTTCATATGTTTTCCGTCCCTGATTCAGACAGAAACACTTGTCTTGACCATTTGCTGCCAGCAATTTTAACTAAAGAAACATAGCACAGTTCAAGTTTGATTGTACAAGGATCATTTTGTGTTCTGAATAACTCATTTGAGCTTTTGTGATCACATATCCTCCTTTGCCACATTTTTCAGGATTGTCTAGTATATTGGAGTCTCACATAGTGCAGCTTAGTTTATAACAAACTCAGTTCTTTCTAAACGACAAATTTAGCTTTCTTTTCATTAAACATTGTAAATTTCCATGCACATAGGTTGTGAAACAAATAAAAATAAGGGATAACTTGCATTTAATAACTTTTTTTTTCAGATCTGGCAGTACATTTTTGACAAATTGGAAAAGCCAGCAGTAAGAAGAAATACTTTCAAGGTTACCAGTATTCTTCATTTAAAAACACTTTCATCTTTCCTGTTTTGAATTACAATTCTGCACTACAAAGTATATACAACAACTACAGGCCATAACAACAACATTTTATTTTTAATTTTTCAGTGGTGATGCTTTATATTACATTGGGAAAATTCCAGTTCTTTTTATTTTGAAACAGACATATCTGAATCTTAGAGTATAACAGAAAAACCATACTTATATTAATACTTCACTGGTTGCAGATTTCAGAAAAAGTACTAGTAGAACCTTTTTTAAAATGTGTAACTGTGAGATATTATTAAATGGAAATGGCACACAAGGCATTAAAGAAAGAAACCTCCTACACAGACGTAGGATGCTTATCTAGCAGTGTGGTTCTAAAATAGAAATTCTTAATTTCCCCCAGTGTGCTGCAGTAAAAGATAAAAGACGTGATCCTGACATGATACTGCAAGCAACAAGATCACTTTCATCTGCATAATGCTCCGGTCATTTATGAAAATTAAATAAATGGTTACACCAAAATGGATTTAAGAAACTCTCACTAACAAAATAAAGACAACAGGGAGATCATTCTCTGCAGCAAGCACTTCAGTATTTTGTTTCTTCCCTTAAGAATGAAGAAAAGCCGCAGACAGATAAGGAACCAAAGTCATGAATAAAAGTTTCTGAAGATCAAACAGTAGTAATCAGTATCAGATTAAATTGATTACATATTGTGCTCACTTTTTATGGTATTAGAAGGTTTTATAAAATACCAGATGGTTAAAGATCAGGCCAAACATTTATGAGAAATACTTTGAGCCTGTGTTTTCCTTACAGAAATCACATATCAAGGTGTGTGTGTGCTTTTGCCACTTATTTACAAAATAAGTTTTTTATACCTTAAAATTAATGTGATTCTTCAAGATGTGTCCTACAGATAGTCTTCTGTGTAAACCTATATCAACATCAGTAGTTTTGACTAGCAAAGTATGTTTATAAAGCAAAACTTCCTTATCATCACAAAAATTGTTAATGACAGAGCAAATCCAAATCCTAGCTATGCCCTTTGGCCTGTCAGAACCCAGATGAAGGTTTTGAAATGATGACAAAGAAAGATGGGTTGAGACATTCCCAAGCATGAAACATCAGAAAACCAAGTTAGCATTAAAAGTAGCAATTGTTTCTTATCTTTATACTTACCTGTACAGATGAAGCCCACTTTGTGATTAGGCAGCAATTAGCACCAGAAGGTCTTAGTCTCATAGGACATCTTAGTGTCCTCCAAAACTCTCCCACAAATATCCCTGCTTCAAGCTAATGCTCCATAAGTGCATAAGCTCAGTCCATAAGCGATACATTGTGGGCTTCATTTCTTTTTACAAAAGAGGACCTGCATGAATAAAAATTGCAAAAGCAGAATCAGTTCAGAAGTGGATGGCATAACTTCAGTTGGATGAAAATTTATTCTCCCCAGCTGTCTACCCTTTCTAAAATCTTCGGCCAAAAGTGAGTTGACTGGTCATAAATCACCTTTAAACTAGCTCCACAGCACAGAATGTCACTCTGACATGAAGTCAGCTGAATAGCTCAGTTCAACATCAGCAGCTGTCTCAAGCTAAAATTTTTCTATTCATATATTGCATCACTTCTGCTGATTCAAAGAGCCACTGCCAATGGCTGTAATAACCTAAGGTGTTCCTGTCCTCTGCCAATGGCTGTAATAACCTAAGGTGTTCCTGTCCTCTCCTCAAGTTCCTACATCCACAGCTTTATTGCCAGAACAAATCAACTGCAAACTCCTAAGTTATTTCATGCAAACACATGTGGATTAGCTCAAAGTACACTCAATAGCACTTCATGCTGTTGGCTGACATTATGTCGAGTGAACAGGGGAAGTTTCTCATTGTCTGGTCTCCTGGCTCAGCAACAAGGGTGAGAAACTTAACAGAAATCTAGTAAACTAATAGTTTAGAAAACCAGAAATATCATCTCTGAAGAATAGATTAAAAATGTTTCTCTAACTTCCTGAACCCTTGGAAAAATGCTTCCCCACAGCAGAAGATGACATCTTACTTTCCTATCATATTAGAGGCATACTACATCAAAAATAAAGATTTAAATTGTGCTGGATTTGTGTAATCTAACTGAACATTTCTCTTCACAGATTCCATGAAGGATTTTTCTTGGGAGACCTCATAGATCACTTTGTTCCTTACACACACAGGCTAAAGAATCTGCTGTCACTTTGAGCTCATGCATGCCCCAGGGAATTTTTACTGCCAAAACACACCTGCACTTCAGTTATATAAGCAACATCTGCATTATTCATCTACAGAGATTTTAAGACTACTTATTACAGTGACATTAATTAAAAACAATAAAGAAAAGGCACATATCTGGCAAGAACGAGCTACCCATGAACATGGCAATGTGTAAAAGGAGAATTATTATGGCATGTACTCATAAATATGACCCTTGAGCCCAGCAAAATCTTGAATTTAGATTACTTTTATTTTAAAAAATCTAAGCCTCACAGTGTAGGCAGAATATGTAAGTTTGTTGCTTCTATATTAAAAGCAGGTAAACATGAACAAAAAGGTGGTTTGGAGTCAGTTAGATAGTCAGCTAATCTTAAAGGAGGGGGAAACAAAAGAAAGCCTCCAGACATTGATTTTGGAGTTCTATTTTAACTATTAGTTTTGGCTTCACTAAAATTGATGGCAATATGATTTTAACCATTCTTAACAAGATAGCTGTTTCAATTTTACAATTTTTCCAAGCTTTCACATGATTTTGGAAGCCAATGACTTTTTATTCAAAAGCCTCTTTTTCCCCCTTCTTTGTTCTAAAAGGATCAAATGGGATTTTTTTTATCCCACCATGTGGTTCAGAAATGATTTTGTTTCCTCAAATTTGCCTGAAGTTGGTCAGAGGATACCTTGAGGATCTGTTCAGTGAAGTGAGGCTCCCTGGAATGACATTCTCTATTTGAGTAGGCAGCAGTGATTTGTTGTCCATGGCCACATCCTCCATTTCATCTCTGCTCCTCTCTGACTGACTTTAAAATTATCACATCAGTGTTCATTTAGACTTGTTTATAAGTCGTAGTAGCCCTTAATATCTGTTCTGTAACAATTATTCCACAATGGCCTGCTTGTTTTGAAAGTTTTATTTATTTATTTCACATGTGTGGTGACTTTGTGCGGTTTAGTCCAGTCTGAAGTGGGTTAAACCCCAAAAAAATATTTTTAGAGTAGAAAAAGTACCCACATGCTGAGTCAGTGCAGAATAGCTACTTCACTTTAAACTCACAGTTTATTTTTAAATTTAATTTAAATTTATTAAATTTATTTTCAAGTTTATTTAAAATAGCTTCACTTAACAAGTACTTAAAAGAGACAAGGGAGGATGTGTGTGTATGTGCATGACCATAAAGGTTAAGCAGCAAACTACAGGTGATTGCTACAGCTATCTACAGGATAGCCTTGATTATTGAGGAAACACAGCCACCCTATGCCAGGCAAGAGAAAATGGGGGTGTACAGAGATTTTGAAATACTATTTTATGTGTTTGAGTTAACGGTCTTGGGGTTTTTTTCATACTTTTATCAAACACCAGGAGTTGTATTTCCATTATATTATATAATACAGGTGTAAAAATATATGTACATGTGCCAATATACAACATATCTTTTGTCTTTCCCAAATTTCTTTTCAATTATTACTAGTCATTGAGATACACAACTTCTAAATGAACAGGAAGCTCTCCAGTAATACATTTCATAATATTTTCCTATTTGCTCATGTAGTGACCTGTGACATTGTTTTCTGAAAGAATTATTTTTGTAATTGTGCTGCTCTTTTCTTGCACAAGTAGGAGGGAAGTCAGTGCTCATTCTTTTGAACGCAGGCCTCCTACTCACAAGATGTGCCCATTTGAAGATCTGAAGATGATTTCAACCCTGACGACTTGCTTTCAGTGCATTACACCTGAAATCAAAACACACGTTATGAGATCAGATGATACAAGTTGGGGAAAAAAGTATGGAAGTATAAATCCCCTTATTAACATACTTAATCTATCCTTCTCTAGATCATTCCAGTTCCAGTGATGTTATTTCAATTAATGTGAAATGCAAAGTTTTATATATTATGGTGGAAAAAATATAAATCATTCACTTAAACCTATATTACAGTGCTATGGGTCAAGCTACAAGAGAAAGGCTTTGCCTGCCTTTATGTGAGAGGCAGAGTACAAAGTCATCAGAATCATTAGTCTGGAAGAGTTTTTCCAGGCTGAAGCAGTCACTTCAGGCTCCACAGTAATTGCCACCAACTCAGTGGCCCCTTCACAGACCTGATTGTCCTTAAAGCACAGTGAATCACTACAGAATAGGGCGAGTACCCAGAGTAATCATGTCAGGCAGTACCAGGACCTAAGCCTCATCCCAGGAAAGCTCTGGATCTTGCTACAACATGTAGCAAGGAAAGAAGGAAAGAAACATCTTCATCTGTATTCAAGCACAGAAGTAGCACATATATAGTAAATACATTATATTGCACGCAACAGCAACTTTAGTGGAATTTTAGGAATAGCTATCAAACAACCCTATATCACAGCAATGAACAAAATCTCATCCACTGGACATGAGAGGAGCAAACATCTTCCAGTGTCAACACAAAGAAAACATGCCCTCAAAAACTGTAAATGCCTTCTCCCAGTACCTCAGTTTAATAAGGCCAGGTGCCAAATCCTGTGCTTAGATTATGCTCCATGCAGCACTACAGGCCTGGGGAAGAGCAACTGGAAAGCTGACTGGAGGAAAAGGACCTGGGGATGCTGGTTGACAATGGAAGGAACATCAGTCAGTGTGTGCCCAGGTGGCCAGGAAGGCCAAAAGCATCCTGGCCTGTATCAGCAATAGTGTGGCCAGCAGGACCAGGGCAGTGATTGTCCCCCTGTACTCAGCACTGGCATGACCACACCTTGAGTCCTGTGTCCAGTCTTGGGTCTGTCACGACAAAAAAGACATTGAGGTGCTGGAGCAGATCCAGAGAAGGGCAATGGAGGTGGTGAAGGGTCTAGAGTACAAGTGTGATGAGTAGCTGAGGGAGTTTTATCCTGGAGAAAAGACAACTTGTTGTGGAGAACCTCATTGCTGTCTACAGTTACCAGGAAGGAGACTGTAGCCACATGAGAATTGGTCTCTCCTCCCAGGCAGCCCATGACAGGACAAGAGGAGATAGCCTCAAGCCATGCCAGAGGAGGTTCAGGCTGGATATTACGAAGAATTTCTTCACTGAGTGGTTTATTAAGCATTGACTGGAATCTGGCTACCTGGGGAAAGGATGGACCTGCCATTTCCTGGAGGTGTTCAAGGAACCGTACGTGGTAGCTAGCGCCCTGTATAGTAGACAGTGTGGTGTTCAGTGAGAAGTTGGTCTCGATGCCCTTGGAGGCCTTTTCCAGCCTTAATGAATCCGTGTGATTATGCGCTCCAGGGGTTCTGGATTAATGATAATCCATTAATGATTATCGTTAATGAATATGTGTGATTATGCGCTCCAGGGCCTATCCCGCCACAACCCCTCACACCGCCGCGGCCGGGCTCGGGGCATCGCCGCTTTAAGGGCGGCCGACGCGGCGTTTCCTGTTTAAGGCCCGCGCGCATGCGCGGGGCCGGGCGTTCTCGGGGGCGCTCGGGGCGGCTCAAGGTGAGCGGGAGCTTCGGGCTCTGAGGGGCCCCAGCGGTGCCGGGGGAGAGCCGGGGTTCGGCCTGAGGCGTGCTTGGTAGAGCTCGTACTCTCCTTCCCAGAGTCGTATCCTCAGGGATTAGCACCTCCTTGCTGCAGGGCAGGCGGGGGCACAGGTGCGGAGGAGATTGGAAGAGGCTGTTGGCATTGCCCGATCCCTGGAAGGGGAGCTGCAATCGAGCTTTACTGAGCCCCCCGATCAAAGCGCGTCCCGGGGCGGGGGAGCCATTCCGGAGGAGAGGAGCGGAGCCCCCTGCAGCCCCGGACCAGTCTGTAGCACTGAGCCCCCTGCGCTGCCCCTGCCTCTCTCGGGTTCTCTCTCCTGGGCTGCTCTATTTGCGCCTTCCGAAACTGGTAATGACCGTAGGCAGCGCTCTCTCCAGAAGCTCTTCGACCTTTGGCAGCACTGCTTTCTGACTTTGTCTCGGGGCGTACCTGGGAACCTGGATAGTCAGTAGCTCTCTGAGATGGCTCTCACGTGGGGTCCTGCAAACTGCGTAATAGGCTTCTCAAAAACCCCATCGGGTGATGCTCCTGCCCTCCCGGGAGCAATCTCCATTCCTTGTGTGAAATTCTGCCAAGAAGAGATAGGACTTATGTATATATACCTTATACATATATTATCTTTTAAACAATTTTCATCAACAACAAATCTGCGCAACAACTTATTAAAAAAAAAAAAAAAGTTCAAGATGTGGTACCTAAAAGCTTTTAGATATTTTTTTGGCAACTATATCTGAAAAAGTAAAGTTTATACAGTCCTATTGTATGTAGATATGAATGTGTATACTTACTGGAACTTTTGCTCTGCACTATAGGTCAGTGAAATCTGATAAAAAGCTGAAAGATATTAGGCTTCTTGGGAATATAAAAAAAGAGATGGCTGGATCAAGATCCTACTACTATTATCTTTCTTTTTCATCTGCTTCTTCCTTGGAGGAAAGATTGGAGGCTGCACTCAGCTCTTATAGTGTGTCAGAAAATCCACATGAAGAAAATGCTATGGGAGAGACTTCTTATCAGAAAACTCAGTGATGAGACATGGAACATTAAAAAATCTAAGTTTATTGGTTCAGTTCATGAAAATACTTCGTTTTTTATGGCATGCATCTTCCTCCATTCATGACAGTCAGTATTGCTTCTGGCTTGCCATTAATTAACATTCATCAATCGTAGAGCTCCTGAGTGGAGCTGGTGGAAACTTTGGTACTTAATCCATTTCATTTGCTTTTACATTTCCATTTACCTCACCTTGCCAGTTACAGTTGTCTCTTTTTTTTTATTTTTACCAGACATTCCCGTTTCAGTTTTCTTGGTTGTCTCATTCATCGTTCCCAGTTTCTTCAGTTCTCTCTCCCCATTCTGTTTTGCTCTTCTCTGCTTTACTGGCCATTAAGTTGCTATTCTTGCCATGTTTCTCTGTTCTTACTGATTCCTAGTCCCAGTACTTCCCATCTTTTCTTCCTGCCTGTTCCTCATTCAGAATCATTCTTGAAATTTCTTTCCTTGAGTTTCCTTTGAGGGTCCTTGCTCCAGTCACTTTGACATCACAGTTTCAGAAGAATTCCAAATCTTGTTCTCTATTTAGATTGCCTGCCTTCTTCCTCCTTGCTGCCTGGGCCTCATACAGGACTACCTGTTCTTCCTTTTGCTTTTTGACTAGACTACGTCTGGCCTGGGCTTTAATGACTTGGAAGCAGGTGACTTGTTTTTGCAAGAGTATAGGCAACTGAAAACTCTGCTTTGTGGGCAGTCTCAGAAACAAGAAGTTCTGGGAACCAAGCCCAGAGCAAGCAAACTGGAGCATTTTAGCACTGAGGAATTTACTTAACTTTTTAAAAGGAGTTGTCACGTGTCTCTGGAACAGTGGAGAAAGAAAGGCAAAGGGAGACAGAAATAAAACTGGACAAAAACATACTTGATACTCCCCTAAAGGTGCTGCTGTTGTGCTGCTTAATGCTCCTGGAGTACTCATAGGGTGGATCAGGTGACTGGCATAGCACGATGATGTTAAAACTTGGAATTTTTACTCTGATATAAAGGGTAAAACCAACTCTGATTGGTTTTGTTTGGAAAAACTGAAAAATAATAATTGTGTTGTCTTTTTAAGAAATAGTCAAAAGCATCCTGCGCACTGGCACTATGCATGTATTAAAAAGAATTGTGTATATGATATAAATCCCCTTTATTTCACTTTAAAGAAAATCTGTTCTCTTTTTCCAAAAGCTTTCCTTACTGCACACAGTGCTAAAAGATGGTGCCTCTACTTGTTTTCTTTAGTCACTTCTGTATTTGTAATGTGAAGAAAGTTTGATTCTTACTGTGTTATGGTGTTACTGTGACCATTTGCTTGTGTCATGGTGTTTCTAACTTCCCCTTTAGGTACAGTCCTATTTAGAGGTAAATGTCCATCTGCAATGTTGTATTTGCTGTGGCAGCTGTCGCAGAATGAGTGACAATTCAGTTGCCAGTTTTGCTTTTTGTCCACCCACTCACAGTATTTGGAAGATCTTCAAATTCAATCAGTACACAGGCTCTTCAAACAAAAGCTGTGAAACAAGCTGGGAAATAAACAGTGCTTTTGTTCCTTCAAAATGTCAGGCATTCAAAGAAGTAGTCTAAACTTACATTGGATAATTTATCCACTCACATCTTTCTATGCTGCTCTGTATTGCTTTGTGTTCCTTTTAGTATGTTAATATCTTTGATTATTTTTCTTTATATGTTTTTTTTCCTCTCTATAATGATAGAAAGCAGATATTTCAGGAGTATGCTAGTCACAATAAAAATTATCTTCATCCTCTCTTGTTCAGATTGGAGTTTTGTGTTTGCATAATACACATATTTAGTTTCAGGCTAACAAAAATGGAGTCAGCAGTTTTGACAGTGGATGGCTCTGTAAGGCATGTAAGGCAGCACTTCTGCCTGCTCTGTGTGATTTTTAAACAGAGGCTCAAGCCCTCACCCATGGTTATGGATTGTATGTGTTGGGGAGTCATTTGTCCAGATTTCATTGTGAACTGTCAGATGCTGTTGGTTTATATTCACTGCATTCTTAACTCATTATTTCTGCACACAGCAGTTTGATAAGTAGTTATAAACTTCAGCTAAGTTGTGAATGTGTGCAAATCATTTACTAGGGTAGGCTTGTCCTTTTAAACTGCTCTGGATGCATGTGACTTGTAAACTCTAAAGCAGAGTTTAAAAAATGCTAGTTGTATTAGCAGAAATTCTCAGATGCTAAATGAATTGCTCTGGGAATAACAGTTGTACTACTTGAATGTAATTTTGTTGGGCAGATGTTATCAGGAAGAATTTGGAGTTTTGTTCTGAAAAATATTCTGTAAAACAAATAGAGTGATGTGCCCATGATGACACAGGAAGTCTATAGCTGAGTACAGCTGAACCTAACAGCCAGACTTTTTCTTATGCCATCCTTCCTGTTAGGTTTTTATATTCTTTATGTTCTAGAGATTGTATCAGCTGTGTGGGTGTAAAGATGGATTTTTATTTCACTTTAATTGTTAAATCCTTAATTTTCAATGCTCATTTTTGTTTATAATCAGTAACTAGTAATTTCATTGAAGGTGGGTTTTTTTCCTTTTGATGTAGACTGTTGTTCTACATTGTTTTGTCCAAAGAATTCTGCAGGTCACTTATTTTTCAATTATGTGGTGCTGTAAAGACATATTTGAGATTAATTCCTTGTAGCTTACCTTGTAACATCCTTAGAAATCTGGAGAGGAATGAACTTTTTAACAACTTTTCCCAAATAAGTAGTTTTTCAAGTGCAAACACAATAAAATGTTAAACCTTGATCTGTTTCTTTAACAAGATACTTGTATTTTGAGTCAGCTGCATGTTTTAAAGGGGAGGGATGGCCAGGGATGTGCATCTTTTCTCCTAATACTTTTTAATTTTGTTTTTCAGCATTCCAGACTGTAGTTCTTGATGGTTTGTGAGTGCTGTTATGTAGCAGTACAGACAGAAGGTTCTGTATTTTGCAATGTTCAAAGAGTAAAGATGTTGGATAAGTGGTGATTATGTACTCTTTATAGGCTCATCTTTTAGATTTGCTCCAATTTGTTCTTGTCAGCAAAATAAACATTATGACAAAGATGTCAGTTATCATGTTTAATTCTTTAATGTCCTTTGTTCATGTGGAGGCTGGTTATTTATGGCTGTTGGCTGAGAATAGTAGTCACATTTTGATTTTGAATAAGAACTGAAAGCATGTGAGATTATGTTTTTTCTCCTGTTAAATTAGGGTGATTTCCTCTTAATAACTTTGGGTCTCACAGGTGCAAAATCATAGATTTGCAATCCTCTTTTAAACTCTTGAAATTCAAGGAGAAATTTTTCTGTAGAACAGATTGAGTGATGATCTCATTCTTTCTCATCTCTGGGCACTGCTTTTTCTTACAAAGAATTGCTTTTTCTTACAAAACATCTTACACAACAATATCTTTTTATCATGTACCTGCAGACTTCTATTCTAGTGTGGCTGCCTGCCTGTTATTGAGCGTCGCCTGACTTGGTGTGCAAAGCTGCCTCTGTCTGTTAGGTGGGAACAGGGCGTTCTCAACTGGCACAGGAAAGCAAATCAGAAAGCAAACCTCTCTCTGCCTTGTAGGGACTGGTGATGGTCTTATACGGAGCTGGTACATTACAGTTTTCCATCTTTCCTGTATGTGCTACCGTGACATTGTATAAAATCAGGGCTTTAATAAGATAAACAGGGTAACTTCTTACTCACACATTTGTTTATTTTATGCTTGAGGTTGGGTTTTATGATTCTTTGTATCTTCCTTGGGTGTGGTGCTGAAGTTGGGGAGGTCCATATTTCATCCCCACTTTCCAAATTACTGAGTACTTTGCCTCATATTCTTTTTTCAAGAAAATTTATGTTTCAGGTCTTCAAACATTTTCTTTTGTAGAAATCCAGTGTGAACTTGTTGCAAAAGCAGAGATGATTATACAAAGAGTAGTGCTGAATTCACGGCCTGGTATGTATTTCTTTCCACTAAAGAAGCAATGTGTTTGTTCTGATTACCTAATGCTCCAAAATGGTGAAGGTAGAAACAGACACTAATTTGAGATACTGACATTTACATATCTTAATATTGCATGCAACAATAAAGTTTATTTAAAGTGCATTTATTTATATATAAATTTATTAATTCCCATTAATATAAATTAATACATTTGTAATAAATTTATCTTAATTTAGTTACATTTACATTTATTAATAAAAGTAAATTGTATTAATATAGATACATTTCTCTTAAATATATAACATATATTCAAACTGCATTTATTTGTATATGCAGATTTCTAAACTAGTGAGAAAAAAGGGTTAACACGTAATATATGAGAAAACCCTTAAGTATAGGGGCTGAAGGTGAAGAAAGATTAGGGAACATGGCTTTTTAATTCTCACATTTATTCTTTTCGCATTATAAGAGATGTCTAAAGTATTTTGTTACTCTTAATTTTTGATTCCTTGTAGTAAATATTGAATCTTTTGTTCCTTTCAAGTTTCAAAGGGTTTGTTTTTTAAGTTTACACTTAAGTTGAGGTTTTGTTTACGTTCATGCTTACACGTTTGCCTTGTTAGGGATCAGCACAGTATTTTGAATGGTGAGTTCATAAATCTGGTGTAGAAGACATTAAGTTTTGGAGGGAGTATTGTATGCTGCTTAATGCTAAAATAGTTTTAAGAGTTAAGAACTATTGTGTGACCTGCAATTAAGTCTTTCAAATGGTAGAGCAGGAGCCTGCTCTAGCTGTGCAGTTGCTGACTTAAAGTAGGCAAGGCTGTCTGGCTGTCTCAGCACTGGTGGTTCCAGTTGTGTGATTATGTGCTGCATGTGGTACCAACCTGAGGATAAAGCCTCCAGTTCTGGGGTTCTTACCACAGCTTTATGGATGCTTCTGGGAAGCTTTAATGTAAGGAAGTCTCTGTGAAGGGATGCTCTTGCAGCATGTGCAGTGGCTCTAGCCTGTATTCTCTCAGTCTCACTAGGGTCAGAAGAGGCAGAAAGGTGAGAGTAGTTGGTTGTAGTTTTACACCTGAGTAAATATATAATCTAATTTATTCTAAAAAGGACAACCTTTAAAAAAGGCCTTCCCATACTGATAAAGGGAAGTTCTGTATTAATTCATTTATTTGTTGAATTCTAATATAATTCTAGGTAAGAATGGAGTGCCAGTGGCAGAAAACTTCCGACTGGAGCAAAGTACAATACCAGATACAGTCCAAGAGGGACAAGTGCGTGTTAAAACTCTTTATCTCTCGGTGGACCCCTACATGGTAGGTGATGGACTTAGAGCTGAGCCAGAGTTTGTTTTTTAAAGTACCTTCAGCTCTGTATCTGTCATGATGTTTAACACCAAAGTTACCAATTACAGAACAAATATATATGTAGTGTAACTTAGTAATTGTATTCAATCTGATGGAGTTATATTGGGAAGGGATTTGGCATTAATATGCTTGGAATATCTGGGAATATAACTTCATTGGACCAGGAAGAGACTGAACCCTGTATGGTATGGTATGCCATTACAGATTCGTTTGCATCAGCATTTTCTGATTTTGGCCTTTTTTATATTCTTTTTTTTCCAGTCATGAAAAATTACAGAAATCATGTGCTTGGGAGAATTGTGGGTTGAAATGGAAGGGAAGGTAGAAGAAGAACCAGACAGACACAGTCTGTAAAAATTTGCGATAAAGAGAATTCCAATCATTTATTCCCTCCATAGATGGTGATAATAGAAAAAAGCCAGTCTAGATTTCAAGAAAGTACAAGTATTTCCCAAGAAAGCTTGGGAATTAAGGAAAAGTTTAAGAATCCTGAAATACTACCTGTAGCTTCAGAGGAAGCTGCAAAGAAAATACATCACATTTCAGAAACAAGATTCAGAAACATCACATTTCATAAACATCACAAGATGTTTCATTAAACAGATCTCTGTCAGGGATGGTCTACATATATTTGACTGTTCTTCAGTGCACAGGCATGGACTAAATTACTTGTGGGCTTTTTTTTTTCAATTCTGCTTCTCTAGGACTCTGTCAGTTGAGGAATGGCATTTATAGGATTCTCATCAGACTTGAGCCAGTTATTGTCAGTTGTGCTGGTGCCTTTGAGCCAACATCTGCAGAATGTGTTTGCTTTGGTAACACTGCTGGAGGAGGTCAGGATGGTTCGTCCTCCCTTTGTACTGAGCAAACAAGGGGGAAGAGGAATCTAAGAAAAGATTATGAATACTTGAATACTTGTGGCTTATTGGGAGAGATTTTTGAACAGCCCTTTGTGTTTGAAGTTCTGAATGCATCTTCATCCCCCACTCATGTTGACCTGATAAACAAGTTGTGTTCCACCAGAGCCTTTCATTAAAGCCTTGTCTTTCAGCGCTGCGGAATGAATGAGGACACAGGTTCGGATTACCTGCAGCCCTGGCAGCTGTCTGAAGTTGCTGATGGCGGGGGTGTCGGGGTTGTGGAGGAGAGCAAGCACCATAATCTCGCTAAAGGAGACTTTGTAACTTCCTTCACTTGGCCCTGGCAGACAGCGGCAATTCTTAATGGAGACTTGCTACAAAAGGTAATTCAAATGCAAAGCCCAGGTTGTGACTGATTTTTCTCCTAAACCCGTTTTTTTCCCCTCCAAACCTTTTTTTTTTCCCCTAAATAGGTGCTAATGACACTATTTTTTTGTGAAAAACAAGTATACCTTATTGAAGCTATCAGTTTTCAAAAGGCAGATCTACTGATAGATGCCAAAATTTGTATCAATTTCTTTTTTTCCATAATGTTTTTCCTTGTTAACAGACAGGCCAGTATTATTTTAATTGTTTGTTGTTTTTTTTTTAAATTCCCTGGAGCTGCTTCAGTTAAATAATTCTCTTGATTGTTTTAATTGTAGTAGAACATCTTGTTCATGAGAGCGTAACTGTAAGACATGAAAGGCTTTAGGTTTATTTAATTTATTTTTCTAACTTATTGCGTTCATAAAAGCTTTTACTTGAGGTTTTACATTCACATAAGAAGGGGTATTCAATATTTAGTGGAAAGTGGAGAGGTTTCAGTGCAGTAGGAATATTGTGTTGATTGTTCTTTTGAAACAGAAAATTACTGTTTGAGTAAGTTTGAGAATTTATACTTTCCAATAAACTCCTTCCTTTAGGATTCTTTGTCACTGATCTGCAAACACCATATTTGATAAAATGGTGCATTTTTATCCTTTATGCAAACATAGGGATAGTTCACCATTGCTGAAACTTCCTATCTCCCAACTGCTTTTTAAAACTTCCATAAATTAAGTTTTTGTGAGTTACTTTGTATAAAAACTTTTTCTAAAACCACAGAGACATAACATTTTTGTAGAAACTTGCTGTTAGAATAGAGCTGCAGATAGCTCATCCCTACCAGTTGTACCTTGCCTGTTAAATATCCTGAGTTAGTTTTCTACCTTCAGGCAATCAAAGAGCAAATCCTCACCTTAGAAACAAATGACCTCCTACCTACGTTTCTGTTCTGTAGCTGGTTCCACAGCTTGTAAATGGACGCCTTTCCTACTTTCTGGGTGCAGCTGGCATCACAGGACTGACGGCCTTGCTGGGAATCAGGGAGAAAGGACATGTGGCCGTGGGTGCAAATCAGACCATGGTGGTGAGTGGAGCTGCCGGTGCCTGCGGCTCTTTGGCCGGCCAGGTAGGTGTAGGCCTAGGGCATACAAACATACTCTTACCAAGTTCTGTCTTCTGAAACATGCTGGTTATTAAACATAATATACAAATATACAAGATAAAATCTTTGTAAACATAACCAGGTATAACTCTGTGGGAATGGCAAGTTTCACAGATTTTGCACACATTCTCTCTGAAAGACTTTACGTATGGAACTCAAGTGTCATGAAATAGGGAGAGGAGAAAAAGATGGTGGTGATTACTTGTTGCTAGCATAAGTAAAATAGATTATATATATACATGTATTTATTATACATTCATATGATAGTCTGCCATTCCAACACTATTGACTGGAGACTTTTTTTTCTCTATTAGAACATAGTAATGTGGTAAACCCTTTGTGCTGTGTTCCATGACATCCTTTGTGTTTTGAGGTTTACGGTCCTTTTATCTTCCTTTTGTTCCTGTTTGTAATGTGTATGTGCATTTTTAGAATGTACCTCTCTCTCTCTCTCTATATATATATGTATATACAAGCAAAATCAATATTAAGCAAACTTTAGACCTACTAATAAAGATAAGCCATGGAGAAACAATGCATGAGCAAATCTATGAAGATTGTATTTAAATCAATTATTGTGTAAATTTTTTTGCTTTTATTAGTTGTGTTATGATACTCGGTAGATGGTAGTTTTTCTACTGTATTTGGTTCTCCAGTACTGACAATCATTGGTGATTCCACAAACACAATCTTCTGCAGTCAGTGAGTTTGAAAAGATGGCAAATTTTGATTGTACCTGCCCCATGTGTAGTTGTGAGGAGGGAATGACAAGAGGCAGTTGTGTCACATGAGATGGGAGTGTTTGCTGTGTGGGGTTTAGTGGGATGGGAGTAACTGTAACACCCCTTAGGACCCCCTTTCTTCCACTGCTACTTTTTAGGACCCCCTTTCTTCCACTGCTACTTTTATGCAGATGAATGATCTAATTTGTCTTTATTGTTTGGGGTTTTGGTTGGTTTGTTGTTTCTTTGGTTTTTTTTTTTAACGGTGTGCCTGCAGATCGGCCGTCTGGAGGGCTGCTCTAGAGTGGTGGGGATTGCTGGCACAGATGAAAAGTGCTCCATTTTGGTCCAAGAAATGGGGTTTGATGCTGCTATCAATTACAAGAAGGGGGATGTGGCAAAACAGCTACGTGAACTCTGCCCAGGTGGTGTGGATGTT